AGCCGCTTGCCACGTCGGAATGCCACGTGGCATATGACACATGCTGCTATGATCTTACTCATGCTGACATGTGAAATGCCATGTGTAAATCTATTGCGCCAGCTATTTGCCACGTGGCACTACGTATAACGTCGTATTTGTCTCAGATCGAGGTCCGCAACGTCGCTTGTCATGAGCTGAATACGAAGGAGATCTTGCTCTTGACGATTCTTCGTGTAAGTTTTTTTTGTTTTTTTTTTTCACCTCATATGAATGATCATCGTCTCTTTCTTTCTCTCTCTCTCTCTCTCTCATTCTCTTTTTCTCTTTCTCTCTCTTTGTTCCTTTCTCCTTCATTCTATCACTCTTTTTCTCTTTCAGTGACATTATGCATGAAGAGGTAGGGAGTTACGTACTTTGGCCGAAATCGAAGTAGGTGGGTTTGCGTGCGGTGCCAACGTGATATAGATGAAACATGCAAAGCATTGATGACGTCGAGAACGCCAACAAAACTACGGAAATACAAGGAAAAGGTATCGGGGATCTAATCTGGTTGTCGTTGGGGATCCTCAGGCCTGATTCGAAGGGAGATAGAATCAATTTAAGATTTGATTAGTCGTTTACATGGTCTAGGTAATGATTACTGATATCGACCGCGAAAGTCATTGATTGGGTATGCGTGCATTGATGCGTGAATTTTTTTTTTTTGTTCCTGGATTTTTTGAAGTTTTGTGCGTCGATCGGTCCTCAGACCCCTTACGTTATCCTTATTTGTATTGTGAACATGGCAATGATGATGATCGTCATGATGACGATAATGATGATGATGGTGACATAGCGATGATCGTAATGCTTTCAATCTGCTAATGATGATAATGATGATGATGGTAGTAGTCACATGGTGATGATAATGATGCGTTGATGATGATAATGACGATGATAATGATGATGATGATGAGTAATAATTTAAATTGCTAATCATTGTCACATCATCGATTTGAATATTTGCTAATTCCCTTTCTGTAATCTTACCCTCCTGTTTCATCCGATCATCATACGTCTTCTTGTCTCAATATGTTAGTAACTCACTTGTTCCTTTCTCTCTCCTCCTCTTTCTTCTCTTTCTATTTCTTCTGCTCATTCCTCTGTCTTTCCGGAACTGGCTTCTCTTTTCCTGCGAATCGCCCAAAACACGAGAGAAAGAGAGAAAAAAAAAAGAGAAAAAAAAAACAAAGAAAGAAAGCCATTTTTACTAGTACTTTGCCCCGCAGACCACTATTCGCAAATGATCCGTTCTTTCTCTCTTCTTTCTTTTCGAGATTCGCCAGTAATTCACCTGTGGTTTATGCACGCGTATACATATGCATATACAGACAGATAGACACATATGCCGTATATCCTGACGAAGAAATAAAAAGAGAGAGAAAGAAAGAGAAAGAGAAAGAAAGAGAGAGAAAAAGAAAGATAAAGAGAAAGAAAGAGCGAGAAAAAGAGAGAAAAACGAAGAAAAAAAGAAAAAAAGAAAAAAAAAAAAAGAAAAAAAACGCAAAAAAATGAAAAGATGGAATCTATCAAAATTTGTGATATACAAAAGCGATTTCATTGCGAAGCAACGTCAACGTTCATGCAGAGCGAGTCATTTTCGCATATTACAAATCGAATCTTCTCTCTCTCCCTCTCATATACGTATACAGACATATATGCATATACATATACGAAGAAACGCATACACATACAAATAACCAATTATTCAAATGATTAGTAATAAAGATCGAATTAGACTGATTGATATGTAAACTGATTCACACGTAGATCGATTGATATGTAAATTGATTGACATATGCATGCGTGCGATAGTCGTAAATGATACGATTGTTATTGATTGACTTTTCGTTTGTTTGTCATATATATTAATATATATATATCAAACAAGGCATAAAATTCGACACTCATCGGCTCTTTCTCCTGTTCTTTCGTAATCGTCGTCGTCGTTCGGATAGCCCGTCAAAATCACGCGTATTCAATAACCAAAACAGGTAAGGTCCCTCTTCTTCACCTTTCTTCTGCTCTCCTTCTTTCCCTTGTCGTCTTTCTGTTCCTCGTTTTTTTTTTTTTCGCACTTATTTTTGCGCTATTGCGTTTTTTCTTTTTTTCTCCCTTCTATTTTACCACGCGTATCCTCGAAGAAGAATCTAAATACACGTATTCCTCCTTTCTCCTCCTTCTCTTGTCTATTTTTCTTCTCCTTGCCTCCTTCCTTCACCCCCTTGTCGTCTTTCTGTTCCTCGTATTTTTTTTGCCCACTTATTTTTGCGCTATTGTTTTTTTTCTTTTTTTCTCCCTTCTATTTCGCCACACGTATCCTCGAAGAAGAATCTAAATACACGTGTTTTTCCTTTCTCCTCCTTCTCTTCTCTATTTTTCTTCTCCTTGTCTCCTTCCTTCGCCCAACTTCGTCCTTTTATCTTCTCCTTTTCTTTCTCCCCTTCACTTCTTCATACATACCCTTTTTCAAAATCACCTGGCAATACACATACGAGCATATGAAAGCGCAAACTTCTTGCTGATTGCCTGTGTACATACTGCCACACACGATTGCATAAGCTTCCTTCTGCACATCTTTTTTTACTCATCAACTAACCTTTTATAGTATGTCTACTCAATGTATTCCTTGTTCAGTAAATAATAAATTATGAGTGAAAAATAATACAAAAAAATACAAGCACAAAAATCAATCTACAAACAAGGCCACTACATCTATCTTTTTTTTCATATGCAGATACTTAGTGTATATGGGCGGCCTAGACCCCGTTGCATCTTCATATCTCAACCAGGGGGTCAATAACAATAACAAAAAAAAATCTTCAGAAAATAATAATACGGAAAAATAAATATGTAAGTTATAAATAATGAAGAAGCTCCTGTCATTGTGAGCCGTGAACGTTTTTTTTTTTGCTTCCTTTTTCTTTTCTTCTTTTTTTTCAAAAACAAATCCACAACGACGACATCAAAACACTAACATTCATAAGCCGTCTTCTCGTCGCCAATCATCGACAGGGATGTAGACCGTTCGCCTATTTTTCCGAATCAACAACTTTCTTTCTCTCATCATGAATCATCGATAACAACATATCTCAAAATGAGCCCCCCCCCAAGAAAAGGAAGGCAAGACCCCAGGTCACAAGAGCGGGTCAACTCAATCATCTTCGACCCGGATTACTAACATTCATAAGTTGTCTTCTCGTCGCCAATCATCGACANGCAAGACCCCAGGTCACAAGAGCGGGTCAACTCAATCATCTTCGACCCGGATTACTAACATTCATAAGTTGTCTTCTCGTCGCCAATCATCGACAGGGATGTAGACCGTTCGCCTATTTTTCCGAATCAACAACTTTCTTTCTCTCTTCACGAATCATCGATAACAACATATCTCAAAATGAGCCCCCCCCCAAAAAAAGGAAAGCAAGACCCCAGGTCACAAGAGCGGGTCAACTCAATCATCTTCGACCCGGATT